CCCCCCCCAGGCAGTGCTGGGTAAGGAGGGTTCTGGGTCAGTTCCTCAGCCTCCCCCCCCCTCCAGCTGGCTTCCCTCCCCATAAACTTTCCCCTGAGGTTCCCCTCCTCCTCCCACATGGGGGGCTGGGGGGTGGGGGAGGCCTCCACCATGCCCCCCCCCCACCTGGTCCTCACCTGCCATCTCCAGTCCGGGAGGGCCTTGGCTCTGGACTGTTCTTACCTGGTGTATTCAGGGAGGGGGGGGTTGGCTGCAGGGTAGAGCATGTGTGCGTGTGCGTGCATGTGTGTGTGTGTATACGTGTGTGTCATGTGCGTGTGTGTGTGTGTGTATGTATACGTGTGTGTGTGTCTGGGGGTGGGGAGCAAAGGACCACAGAAACATCCGCTCACACACACACACACACACACACACACACACAGCGGCCACCTTTGAATTGCACTTTTATTGTTTACCAGCACCTCGGCTCTGTCACCTTCTTTCACATGGGGAAAAGTGAGACTCTGGGGTTGGAAGCTGGGGTGAAAATCTGGCCTGTCATCTCTTATTTGCCCCAGGGAACTGCTAGCGGGTCCCTTTCGACTCTCTTTTTCTCCTAGGTTGTCTGTCCTTGGTTGGTTTTCTTGGTACCATTTCAATCGAGCACAGGTCAGTCACCCACCCGCATTTCCACTCACTCATCCATTTTGTTTTTTAAATCATCCCCTTGGAAGCCAGGGTTCAGAGAGATGAAGAGTTTGCCTATCAGTAGCAAGGCTGCCAGTTCCTTTGGAATGCCAAGATCCCTAAATGCACTGGGCAGATTGGGAGGGTCTTTCTCTCCACCTGCCATCGCTCTCTCTCTGGCTCTCTCTGCTCCTCTTATACCCCAGCTCAGGACACCTTCTTTGTGCCTACATCTCGTTAGCCCTTGTTATTCCCCAGGTGCTCTGCCAACCTGAGTGGACAAGCCTTCTTCAGAAAGCCCACCGGAAGGGAGATCTGCTCTCCTCCGTGCCGTTCCCCATCCACCAGGGCCAGAGGTTGAGTTCTGTCTGCCCCCCCCCATCCCACCCCTACCCCAAGCAGAGTTTGCAATTCCCAGAAGTTGTTGGCGGGAACTATGGAACGAGAAAACTTTGCAAGCTGGCTAAACAGGGCCATTTGTTAATTTTTAATGGAGTCCTCCAAAGTGTGTGTGTGTGTGTGTGTGAGAGAGAGAGAGAGAGAGAGAGAGAGAGAGAATTTACTTGGAAGCTAAATACTGCATCTCAAAGAGACAAATGAGGACATTTGTGCCAAATCAAGGAACCCCCCCTACAAAGAGACACCATGAAGCCGGGCACTGGTGGCTCACACCTGTAATCCTAGCTACTCAGGAGGCTGAGATCTGAGGATCGTGGTTCAAAGCCAGGGAAGTCCGTGAGACTCCTATCTCCACTGAACCACTCAGAAAACTGGAAGTGGCGCTGTGGCTCAAGTGGTAGAGCGCTCGCCTTGAGCTGAAGAGCTGAGGGACAGTGCCCAGGCCCAGAGTTCAAGCCCCACGACCGACCAAAAATAAAATAAAATAAAGGAAGCCGTAGGAAGTTGCTCATGGTTCCAATGTACAGAGGTAGCAGCAGGTGGGCACTGCCCTAGCCAGCCTATGTACATTTACAGTTCTGGGGGAAGCCAGGTTTCTAACTTCCCTTGGTCTCTTTAGCCCTTGCAGGTCGGTGATTCTTTCCCAGATGACAAAGGTGGCTGGGATGACAAGATTG